GATGATAAGATCCTATACTTAGAAGATCTGAAGTTTCTGCTGAAAAAAAAATCTTAGATCTGATTTTTAAAAATAATACTTTTAGCAGAATAGCATGATTTAAAATCAGCATACAGTATCAATAAGCTTTTCTATATGCCAGTAACAGGCTAAGAGAGAAATCAGGAAGCAATCGCATTCCAAATAGCCTCAAAAAGTAAATAAAGTACTACAGACAAACCTAATTAAGGAACTTTAAGACTTCTACAATGAATTTTAAAATATCAAAGAAAGAAGTTGGGCACCAGTGGCTAATGCCTATAATCCTAGCTACTCAGGAAACTGAGATCTGAGGATTGTGGTTCAAAGCCAGCCTGGGCAGAAGAGTCCCAATTAATCTCTAATTAATCACTCAAAACCAGAAGTGGTGCTGTGGCTCAAGTGGTAGATTGCTAGCCTTGAGCACAAAGAGGCTTAGGGATAGCACCCAGGCCCAGAGTTCAAGCCCTGCAATTAACAACAACAACAAAAAAAAAAAAAAATTAAAGAAACTGAAGGAGATTCTAGACGCTAGAATAATCTCCTTTGTGGCAGGAATTAGAAGAATTAATATTGTGAAAGTGGATATATAACCAAAAGCAGCTTAAAGTTCTATCTGAAATAGGGCTCTAGTAACTCAGGAAATAAGAGCAAAAGTGGACAAATAGGATTACATCAAATTTAAAATAGCTTCTGTATGGGGCTGGGAAGGTGGCTCAGTGGTAGAGTGCTTGTCTTGCATGCATGAGGCCCTGGGTTCGATTTCTCAGCACCACATAAGCAAAAAGAAAAAGCCGGAAGTGGCACTGAGGCTCAAGTGGTAGAGCGCTAGCCTTGAGCTGAAGAGCTGAGGGACAGTGCCAGGCCCTGAGTTCAGGCCCCACGACCGGACCCAAAAATAAAAAATAAAAAACTTCTGTATGTCAAAGGAGACAATAACTAGAATGAAGAGACAGCCTTACAATGGGGGGAAAATCATTGCCAACTATCAGTTTGGCAGGGGATTAATATCCAGTATATATAAATAACCCAGAAAAATAAGCACCAGAACAAATAATCCTATTGGATGAATGAATTGAACAGACAGATTTCAGAAGAAATACAAATGGCAAATAAATACATGAAAAATGTTTAGCATCTTTAGCCATAGAGAAATTCAAGTTGAAACTATAGTCAGATTCCATCTCAACTTAAAATTACTATCAAGAAAACAAATAAGTGCTGGTGAAGATGCAGGAAAAATGAAACCTGTATTTACTATTGGTGGGAATATAAATGATTGCATTCAGTATGGAAATCAGTGTGAAGATTTCTCAAAAAATTACAGATAGAAGTCCCTTCTGACCCTATTATACCACTCTTGGGCATCCATTAGAAGGGGATATATATAGGCATGCAACAGAGATACCTGCACACTCTTGTTTATAATATCATATTCACAAAAGCCAAGCTATCGAGTCAGTTTAGGTGCCCATCAACATAAATAAAGAATCTAGGGGGGCTGGGAAGGCTGCTCAGTGGTAGAGCGCTTGCCTTGCATGCCTGAGGCCCTGGGTTCGATTCCTCAGTACCACATAAGCAAAAAGAAAAAAGCTGGAAGTGGTGCTGTGTCTCAAGTGGTAGAGCGCTAGCCTTGAGCTGAAGAGCTGTGGGACAGCGCCCAGGCCCAGAATTCAGGCCCCACGACAGGACCCCACCCCCCCAAAAAAAGAATCTAGGTATATATACATAGTAGCACACTTTTCAGCATTCAACCATTCAGGAAATGGTTGAACTTAGGAACAACATGTTAAGTGAAATAAGCCATACTCAAAAAATATATCATGTTTTCTCTTACATACAGAATCTAGGTCTAAGAAAGAAAAAGGAAGATATGAATATAAAGGAAAGATATCTGAGGAGGGAAAAATTAGAAGATGATGGAAGGTTAATATTATCTAAATAACTTATATGCCTATTAAAATGTAAAAGGAGAGGAGCAGGGAGAGAAGACAAGAAAGAGTAATGGGGAAGTGGTGCTTTGGCTCAAGTGGTAGAGCACTAGCCTTGAGCTGAAGACTCCGGAACAGCACCCAGGCCCAGAGTTCAAGCCCCATGACCAACCAAAAAAAAAAAGAGTAATGGAGAGGTGAATTTGATCAAAGTGTAATATATGCGTGTATGGATATATCCCATTAAGCCTTTGTACAGTTAATACATGTTAATTTTATGCTAATTTTTAAAGGAGTGGAGTACTTCCAGTGAATGGATAATGTGCCCACAGTGTAGGCATAAGGGATGGTGGACCTCTGATTATAGCAAAAGACAGGTAATAAATGTTAAGAACTCTGAAAATTATATGTGGTCCCTGGCCAGCGCTCAGCAATGAAAGGCTTCAGAGGAAACAGCACAAACCGACTTGGTAACAGAGGGTGTCTAGGAACCTATATGTAACTCACAACAAACTTTTGTGTGTAAATATTTCAGAGGAAGACTCAGAGCTTTCATTAGATTTTAAAGCAGTTCTCTAAGGCCCATCTTTTATGACAAGATACCTCGAAAGGACAACAGGGTTACTTATGCTAGAGCATCCTCTGGGGAAAAGGACAAAGACCCTAGAAGGCTGCATGATGTAACCTGGATGCAGGAAGGAATCCCTGAGCCTACTAAAGTGTATGAGAACGAACTGTCACCTGAGCAGGCTGAAGACTGGCTGTCCATCATGACATGGACACTCTGTGGGAGGAAGGATGGTTTGGAAAGAAATGGAGAAAGGAAACAAGCTTAATCCCTAGAGGGAAACTCAAAACCACAAGAATGAAGAGGTCATGGTCCTGTTGTACTAGGGGAATTTGGAACAGCTTGCTATATTGAAGAAATCTGGATGTGTTTGGAGAAGCCAAGCTAACCTTGGAAGGGCTCTTCATAAGGCTTCATGTGACACCTTTCCCCCAAGCCCCACCCTAGAAATTTTGCAACACCTGGAATTATCTGAGTATACACGGCCTCCTAAGGACCAGACTTAGGACCTGCTTCCCATGGCAGAAGACTCAAACTCATTGAGCCCCTTATATTTTTGGATAGAGTTAGTTCCTGAAATAATCTGGAAAATGTGGTTTCAGATTTTTTTGAAGAATCATTATAGTCTGATATTACAAAATCAAGACTTTTTATAAAGCTATTTAGTGGGTCCTGCTATTTTCCTGTACCTCATGCTTCTATTTTAGAATACCACTTCTTCCTTCCAGGTAGAAGCTGTGTTCTGTGGAGATTCTGTGAGGTGGACAACACGCAGGCTGGGTTGATAGAGGAGTTCTAGCTGCCCTGAGGGGGAGCCCCTCGTAACATCTCTGGAATTCGCTGGCAGCCCATGCCTTCTATCTTTCCAGTTTCACTGCCACTATGTCATATTTCCCTCTAAAACAGCCTTTCTGAACACAAGCAGAGCCAATTCCCAGTGTTAACTACATGGAGTTTTCCTTTGTTTTCATCCTCTTGGCATCTGTGTACCATTGAGTACTTAAGAACCTAAGAGCCTGCATGCTGGGATACTACCTGGCTTCAAGTCCAGCTTCATTAGCCTATACTGGAGTGGCCTTGGCAAATTACTCCTTTTCTCAGTGCCTTGGTGTCCTTACATGAAAGAGAATCAGGAATCCTATTTCACAGGGCTGTGGTGACAGCAAATCATTGCTATGTGCATAGTGAGCAATCAGTGCCTGTCTTGTAGTAAGCACCGTTGAAGTGTCTCTTCTTGCTTTTTCAGTCCCTCCTTTGACTTTCCTTTCTTCCTGTGGTGATGATGCAGCTCCCTATTCAGACCAGCTACTACCTTAGCCTGGGCCTACAGTCCAAATGCTATGTTGATCCCCTCATTAGGTTCTTGCCCAGTACTTCAAACTCAGGAACTCCAAAAATATATTAATATTTGACTTTTTTTTTTTTTTGTCGGTCGTGGGGCTTGAACTCTGGGTCTGGGCGTTGTCCCTCAGCTCTTCATTTCAAGGCTAGCGCTCTATCACTTGAGCCACAGCGCCACTTCTTCCTTTTTCTGCATATCTAGTGCTGAGGAATCGAACCCAGGGCCTCATGCATGCAAGGCAAGCACTCTACCACTGAGCCACCCTCCCAGTCCCAATATTTGACTTATTTTATGTAAAAATAAATTTTATTATAGAACATATAGGAAAATTAAATCCCAACAGTAGTAATCCATCCATTCAGCATTCACCACCACTAAACTTGGGCGTATTTCCTTAAGTTCAGGCTGCTTCCCCCAGGGGATAACAAATAGACTGGAAATAAAAATAAATAAATAGACTGGAGATATTTTGATAGGGAAGGACATAGTACTGGCCTCTGGGGCGTAGAAGCTAAGGATTCTACTGGACATTTTATAATGTATAAGACAGCCCCCTCCCCCATAGCAAGGAATTATATGGCCCAACAGTACTGGGGTCAAGAAACTGTTTTCATAAAAGTTGAATTGGTTTTCTTTTTCTGTTCCATCCTGCTTCCCACCTGTGCTCTCTATTTGTCAGGGGTCCTGCCTTCTTCCCTTTCTTCTCTCCAGAATTCTATGAACAGTCAACAAGCCCACAGAGTTCTGTCACATGTTGAGCAGCAGTCTTTTTTCTCTCCCCTAGTTGTGACACTGATAACCACTCACAAACTAATGAAGAGGCTTCCCATTGCCCCTTCACTTCCAAGTTTCCTGTGAGGCCTGGCTTGTGTACTTGGGGATGTGCATAGAACTCTTCTGCCTATTGAATTCAGCCCAGACCTGGTAGAGTCTGCCTGGGACATATCTGACTCATCCTTGTAACACCATTCTAAGTGCAGTCTTGCTCTGTAAATCTTTGTTGAGTGGTGTGTGTGTGTGTGTGTGTGTGTGTGTGTGTGAGAGAGAGAGAGAGAGAGAGAGAGAGAGAGAGAGAGAGAGAGAGAGAGAGAGAGATTGAAAAGCCTAGAACAAAGTCTCCTCTGACACAGTCTCTTTACAGATTCTTGAGGAGTGGTTTGGCCGGACCATCATCCGCTCCTGCACCAAATTGAGCTATGAGCATGCACAGAGCATGATTGAGAAACCAACTGAGAAGATCCCCCAGGAAGAGCTGCCCCTCATTTCCCCAGAACACAGTAGTCAGGAGGTGCACCAGGCTGTCCTGAACCTGCACGGAATTGCAAAGCAGCTTCGTCGGCAGCGCTTTGTGGATGGCGCGCTCCGTTTGGATCAGGTCAGTGAGATTTTGGTTTTTTGACATTCCTCATGTTTTTTATTCCATGGGGAAGCCCTGTTTTACATCATTATGAAAAAATTAGATATAGTATGCAGAAGCAGGAAACAATATAATAAATTTGCTGTACTCACCATAAATCCATCCAACTTGAATAATTCCGAGTTGATGACAATCTTGTTTAATGTATGCTCACACCTACTTTCCCACCAGATTTCTTTTTCCCTATGCCTACAACATGTTTTATTTAGAAAATATGTCAAGTGTCAAATTACAAGAATAGTATATGGAGTTCAGTGTTACACTCTGGGTTATAGACATTAGGGTGAGAGGCAGCATGATGTTGTCAGTCTTTGCCTCCTTCCTCGCTACACTGTCCTCTTCCATACAGGTAGATGGGTGCTATTGCCACCCATCCTCCATGTTGGGGCCTGGTGACATGAGTCACAGCAAAAGAATGGTGTCTGTTTAGCTCTGTAACTAAAACTCCCCCAGCTGCTCTGTGGACAGGCTGCATATATGACTGGATCCTCATTCTTCACTCAGGTGACAAACACCTGAGAAAAACAACTTAAAGGAAGAAAGATTTATTTTGGCTCATGGGTCCGAAAGTTTAGTCCATGGCACTTGGCTCCATTGTTCCCAGACTATGATGAGTCAGAGACACCATAGTGGGGAGCACGTGGCAGAACAGAGCTGGTTATCTCACGGTGGGCAGGAAGCAGAGAAACAGAAAGAGGCTGGGGACTGGGTGTCTTTCAAAGCTCTTCTCCCCGTGTCCTACTTCTTCACTTTAGGCCCTATCTCCAAATAAAGCCATCAAGAGATCGATCCATTGATTACATCAGAGCCCTCAGGGTCCAATTACCAAGAAGCCCATGAGCTGCAACTAAGATTTTAACACATCAGCCTATGGGGAATACTTCAGATCCAAACTGTAGTACTCACTGCAGCTTGTTCTTGGAGGCAGAAACAGGAGACATGGAAATTCAGAAGGTAGTTGTCTAATATCTTTTCCTAAGGCTCAACAAAAAGCTATCTTTTTATTCCTTGTATTCCACACAGGATTATCTGTTTACAAATTCCAGATTAAGTTGTAAAGAAGCAGAGAGCTGAGGCACTTGTAAAACATTGGCTGTTAAAGCAAATGGGCCTGAACTGACACTGATTACTCTCCAGTATCACAGCGATGCTGTCAGTACATTAGGACTTAGGCAGCTGTCACTTATAAACCTAGTGAATTTCCAGGTCCCAGAGTTGATAACTGTTAATCACGGCTTGTCAGTACATCACAAAGTATAGTCTGTATTTTGTATCATGTTTTTGTTTTTGTTTTTTTGGGTCCGGTCGTGAGGCCTCAACTCTGGGCCTGGGTGCTGTCCCTCAGCTCTTCAGCTCAAGGCTAGCACTCTACCACTTGAACCACAGCACCACTTCTGGCTTTTTTCTTTTTGCTTATGTGGTGCTGAGGAATTGAACCCAGGGCCTCATGCATGCAAGGCAAGGGCTCTACCACTGAGCCACCTTCCCAGCCCTTGTTTTTTGTTTTTATTTGCATTTCTGACCTTGGTCATTCAGTCTGTGGGAAGTCTTTGTGTGTCTGCCTGTGGGCAGTGGCAAGGCCACTGGGACTGGCTGAAGGAGCTGTTCTCAGACTATTGGCATTACTTGCCTTACAGAAAACTCTTTCTCTTAGCTAGAAGGGTTAGAAAGCCATGTTTTAAAGCTTTCCAATGGAAGTTCTGATTGCATTGTACATTCTGCCACAAACTTACACAAGTGCTTCTTAGGAGGTATTGCAAATAGTGTTGCAAGGAGGAAGTGCACCACTCTGGGATGTGAGTGATCAGGTCTACATGTGCTTGTCCTGTCTGGGCAGCCTCTGAAGCTTTCCCTGCCACCCTTCTGACCTGGTCCTGGTAGCCTGGGCAGGCCTGTGGGACAGTGCCCATAGGAGATGGGAGGTAGAATGGGTAGGAGGCAGAAGATGAGGATAGGAGGTGGTGAGGGAAGAAGTAACAGCATAGCAGGTTATACACTATCTCCTTCCTGCAAGGAATCACAAACACACTCTTAACTGTCACATACCCATGCCTCCTGGTTGTCAAGTCTTGGAACATTGTAATGTTCTAGTCCTTTTCCAGTATTAGATCCTTTAAGGTCTCTGAGTTTCCTTGTACATTTCCAGTAGTGTCTCCTTGGAATTCCCTAGGATCTACTCTACTTTCAGTCCTTTTGCCAAAATACCCTTTCTTGAATGGATTCCTCTTTTCTCCTAATTTTGAGCACTAGTTATATTGATGTTAGAGTTGCCAACGTCTGCCTACATAGATAGTTTTAGTCTGGTCTCTTCACTTGCCTCTTGAATTCTTTTCCTGGATGCCCCACAGCCCTCTTTTTTTTTTTTTTTTTTTTTTGTTATTGTTGATCATGGGGCTTGAACTCAGGGCCTAAGCACTGTCCCTGTACTTTTTTGTTCAAGGCTAGTGCTCTACTTTGAGCCACAGCACTACTTCCAGTTTTCTAGTGGATAATTGGCTATAAGTCTCATGGGCCAGGCGCTGGTGGCTCATACCTGTAATCCTAGCTACTCAGGAGGCTGAGATCTGAAGATCAAGGTTCAAAGCCAGCCCGGACAGGAAAGACCATGAGACTCCTATCTCCAATAAACCACCAGAAAACCGGAAGTGGTGCTATAGCTTAAGTGGTAGAGCACTCACCTTGAGCTGAAGAGCTGAGGGACAGCGCCCAGGCCCAGAGTTCAAGGCCCACGACCAAAAAAAAAAAAAGTCTCATGGGATTTCATGGGATTTCCTGCCTGGGCTCACTTCAAACTGCAATCCTCCCATCTCAGCCTCCTTGGTGGCTGGGATTATAGGCATGAGTCACCAGCCTGGCCCCACAACCCGCTTGATCAATGTTTATCCTTTCTACAGTAAAGCAGTGCTCAGTGCCCATGGCACACCACACGCATACTAAGTGACACCTTCTTCTCCCTCTGCTCTCACCAGAAGGGTTGTGTGTGTGTTCCCAATCCTAGGTGTGTGTCTGATGCACATGTTGCTATAGTTAAGTAAATATTAGATCAAAGTAATCATATGCAAGCATTAAAACAAAAACTATTGTTAAATAAGGACTTAGCTTTCAGAAATTCTGTTCTTTGGTTGAAGCAGCCCTATGAGAACAGGAGGTATTCTGTATTTAGGTGGCTTTAGAGAGGGAGAAATCTAATTCACAAATTCTTTACACACACTTTTTTTTTTTTTTTGGTCGGTCGTGGGGCTTGAACTCTGGGCTTGGGTGCTGTTCCTGCGCTCTTCAGCTCAAGGCGTGCTCTCTACTGCTTGAGCCACAGCCCTACTTCTGGTTTTCTAGTGGTTTATTGGAGATAAGAGTCTAACAGACTTTCCTGCCCGGGCTGGCTTTGAACCGTGATCCTCAGATTTCAGCCTCCTGAGTAGCTAGGATTACAGGTGTGAGCCACTGGCGCCCGGCTACACACACTTTTTTTTAAAGCCTTGTTTTTTTTTTCAGAACTGGCAAATGAAAATATAATTATATAAATTAAATCTCACAGGGTTTAGTTATGTATGTACCTCATTTGCATAATTTCCTTCTTTACCTGGCTTCCAGAATAACTAACCAACTACTATACAAGCCCAGCAGATGAGGGGGTTTATGCAATAACATTTGAGAGATCTTATCCTGATATAGGCTTTTAGACTCCAGGCCCAAAGTCTAGGAATTCATAAAGAAACATGGTAAAGGGAAGAGAAGAGATTCATTCCATGGCAGCCATGAGAAGACAGCACTTCAGTAGATCTTCAGCTGTCTTCTGGAGTACAGACATTTACTTCAGGTTAAATAAGAGAATGTGAGCAGGAGGGAAGAACAGTATGCCTAGTTAACAGTCCCAAATCACTAGTGTGGCCTGATTGATCATTATGTTAGTCTTTGTCTCTAGAGGAGTTCTGGAGAAGTTGCTAACATTAAGAACAAGTTGCTAAGCAGATTATCTCTTTTAAGTTTTCCACTGCTTTCTTTAAAAACATAAGAAGGTATGGTCTGTCTGACGGGTTAGTTTGCCTTCCATACAAGATGCTTAGCAGTGAGTTTTCTCTTTCCTGGAGCCCAAGGTGATTGCAAAAAGGGACTGCAGTGGAGAATATCTCAGATCAAAGGACATAGATGTAAAGCTGAGGACTTTTAGTTAATTCGTAGGGCTCAGAAAAACATTCCTTTGTCTTTTACAACCCCATTAGGCTGTTGTATGAAGGTTAAATTGGACTAAATGTTTGCAACACTCAGGCTGGAGAAGAGCTCCCATGAGGAGAGGGGCTAGATGGATGATGAGCTGATGACATGTCTGAGAATCTACATTTTATTTAGATATTAATATCTCATTGGCAGTCTTAATTTATAAATTAGAATGCTGAGGCCTCCAAGGTCTAAATGAGTTGCAAATATGCAAGACATCCAAGTAGCTCTTTGTTCAGTTTTTGCCCATTTACACCATGCTGAGTTGGAGAAAAAAAAAAGTTTTCCTTTAAAGTGGGGAGGAAGGAACACCCTCGAAAGTCCTAATTAGGTTCCAGTTAATTAAGGTTTGAAAATAATGAATTTGCGTCATTGGAGTTAATCCCTTGGTTCCCCCAGAAAACAAGTGTGTGGACCCCAGCTGTAGAAGGAGACATCAATCTCCTGCAGCCAAGGACACTGGGGAAATGGTTTATAAATCAGCTAAATGGCCCATTCAGAAGCTACTGCATTTGTTCTCCTGTCCTGCTGTCTGCTTTTGCCCTCAAATTCATTTTTCCTTGGTGATTTTTGAGTAGCCCACTGTTTGAGTTGTTTTCTAAAGTTTTGTTAGCTACTTAGAGCAGGCTGTATCTATGATTCTGGTGACACATCCTCAGTTAGAGTGATCTCTAACTGGGTCCAAGGTAAAGCTGTAGTAGGAATTTTGCTTTTCCGGAGCTTACCATGGTGATCTTGAGAAT